TTTATACAAGATTGGAGTGGATTTGGCTATTTTTGTTCTTTAGTGATTTATGTGAGGTCTCAATGTCAGTTTTTCATTAATAATGATACCCAAAAACTTCACCTCACTGACTCTACAGATCTCAACATCAACTTTAAACGCAACATTGACAGTTCTTTTTTCTATTACTAAATATTTAAMTTGTTTTATCAAATTTTAATAATTTCTTAATTTGAAACCAATTTTGTATTTTTACAAATTCATTTCCAACATCCATTCTATATCTTTCCCCAAACAAAAAAAAGGTAGTATCATCTGCAAATAAAACACTTTTTAAAACCCTCAACACATTTACCAAATCATTGACATATAAAGAAACAACTTTGGTCCAAGCGTAGAACCATGAGGAACTCCACATGTGATGTTAGAGTTCAGATCTTATTTTATTTGTTTAAAAAAACTGTTTCCTGTTTTTCAGACAATGCTGGTCCTCTAATGCCATATTTATTTATTTAGTTTGGTCAGTAGTGTCAAAGGCTTTCTTTAAATCCACAAAAACACTAACACGGTACTGTTGTTATTTGTTCAATCAATTCCATGAGAGTCATTGATGTTGATTTATTAACTCTAAAACTATATTGATTTTTACTTCAAATATGTTTTTTATCAATAAATACATCTAATCGAGTCACTAGTAAATCAATGTTTAATTTAAAGTTGATGGTGTTGACATTTATAAAGTCAGTGAGATGAAGTTTTTGAGTGTCATCATTAATGAAAAGCTGACATGGAAACCTAACATAAATTATTTAAGAAGAAAAACCYCAAAATGTATTGCAGTATTGCATAATGTAAGAGTTATTCAATAATAAAGCACTGTTTATGTTGTATAATGCAATAATTGTTCCACACTTAATCTATTGTATTGATGTTTGGGGAAAAGCATGTTAAACAATTACAAATCCAGTTTTTGTTTTGCAGAAAAGAGCCATAGGAATTATTACAAGAAATCATTACAATCACCKATCAAACTCATTGTTCCATCAGTTGAAGTTATTGAAATTCTCTGATTTGGTTGATCATAGTATTTTGTCAGTTAGGGATCGTAAAAACACATTACCTTCAAACATCCAATTACGTTTTGTTAAAAGAAAGAGTTGTTACAATCTGATGTGGATAGATGTTTGTGAGACCTAAAATTAGAACCAGTTTGAGGGAACGGAGAACTTTAATCCAAGGAATAAGATGGAATAATCTGGAAGATGGTGTTAAAAACGTCAAATTAATGGGTGTATTTAAGAGAATGATAAAGCTTAGTCTGTTGGAGATATATGTAATGTGTATTTATACAAGTTGTTGCTCAAGGAGTTAAAAT